CCAGCCAAACCCTTACTTCAGTAATTGATTATTTCACCATAAATACTTAACAATGCTCTAATGTAGGAAACTCTTTGATGTCAGCCTCTAAATACTGTAATAAAGCAAGCCAAAAGCACATCCTGTACTGCGCAGCAATGCATTTGCTGTACTCAAGATACCAAAGTGGTCTGCAGTGAGATATAGGAAAGACATTAGTATACGCACAGAGTCCCAACAGTGTGTTAAGTAACAGTGCTAACACACTGATGGTTTCAACACTCCAGAGATTCCAGATTTTCTAGGTGAGCAGGTGTGCTAATTATACATCTACAATAATTATTACTCCTCAAGCAGAAACAGCTCAAGGAACTGGAACATCTCCCATGGAGCAGTAGTTGTTGCAGGGAGGAAAAAGGAAATATAATCCCAGGATTAAAAAAACACTAATGGAAATACCATTTAAAAACAAAAAAGGTACGTATTAACAGCACAGCTTCATAATAACTATTTCACTTATGCAGTGAGTTATTTGTCATCTTAAGTTAATGCCCTCCTCAACCAACATCCCTAAGCTTCACCATGACAGCCACTTAGACTGAGCAGAAAAAAGGATGTATAGCTGGTCTTTCTAGAAGTATTATCTAAACTCTGAAAACTCAGTTTAGAAAACAAGCAAAAAAACCTAACAAAAGACAAGTTGCACCAAATACAGACAGGCAGAAGGCACTGTGTTCAAGTGCAGTAGCTACTAATGACTGACCAGTACATTCACAAAGCATGTAGGCATAACTGTGGGCAGGAGGAGTTAAATTTGAAACACAGCTAGTGTCAGAGACCCACAGGATACTGAGAAGGCTATCACCAAGATAAGTCTTCACCCAAGCACAGGAAAAAAAAGGGATTTTAAGTGAGCCAAAAGAACAGCCAGGATTCTCTCTATTCTGCAGACAGCTTTACCAACCAGTTTTTATTGATAAATTGGACTGGTAGCTTTACTACCATCCACTAGCTTACTACCTGCAATAGCTGTTTGAATTTTACAATTTATTCCTGAGGCTACGAGAGGAAGTACAGCAGTGACATAGATGACAATTATGGATAGCAGTCTTCAGGTTAATAATTTTCCCCAATAACTGTTGGTGTAACTCAAGTAGTTCCAATGATAGCACAAACACTAGACATCAGCATTTTTACCGGTATCATCTGAACTTGACTGATGACACTGGTCAAGGCACACAGGGTTTGAATCACCACTTTTGATACATGAGAAACACAAGAGGTTTGCATTTAGAGCTAGAAGCTGCAACTGGATGTACAGAATGGGACCCCGCAAAGCACTACAATCAGTGAAGCTCCATACAGGGCCACCAGACTACCCAGAAGATGTATAGCTGCAAAATCCAACTTCTTCATAGTGAGAATGAGAAGTCAGTTAAAAAAGGTGACTGTTACCACTAAATCCCCAAACTCAAGTCTAGCCTGGATTTCTCAGAAGAACATTCTCCTCTGACCTTGCCAATCTAGTAAGTTTGACTCATCACCCAAGTTACGGCCCTGTATCTTAAAATGCTTGGTAGAAAGTCTGCAGGCATTACGGCAACTTGGTGTAATAACAGGAAAAGAAGCCTAGTTTTCAGAACAGAAAACAATTCTGTTTTCAAGTTTATGAAAAAATTCATGTTAAACTACATTTGACACAGCCTTGTTCTAAAAAGATCAAAACTTACTTTTAGTTAAGATTAAACTTTAAATGAGAGAATTATTTACTAGCCTGTATCCAGAAAAGTGCTTTTACTTAAAAAAATTCTCAGTAAAAAGGACTGTGTACTACAAGCTACGTAACTGCTACTCATATAACTCACCTTTTCTCCTCTGCAGGCAAAAAGATGACAAGTTCAGCTTAAAGAAAGACAAACATCATTTAGGTGACAAGAGGAAAAAAAGCTGTCTGCCAAATAAGCAAGTCTTTCAGCCATCACTGATGATCCTACTCTTCAGTAATACTCAATTATCTCCAGTGTCTGTGTACCCTTACATAGCTACCTAATCAAAATAAGGAAAGAAGCCCAATGATTTTTAAACACGTAACAGCATTATGACAAACTGTTTGTACAGATCTCTAAGAAAGATCCAAGTATGTTTGCTCTGAATCCAAAAGATGACTGTCAAATTAAATTTAACAGAGCATTAAGTACAGTTAAATCAGACTCAAAAATCACTTTCAGATACTGCTGCCTGAAAATGGCATCAGTAACTCAATTATGGAGTTTCAAGCTAATATTTAGAGGTCAAAAGCCTGGGAACGCCTTTAGGACACACAAGGACATTTCACTGTTGGTTTCAGACAGCCATGAAGAGTCTCATGCTCAGAGTAATTTTTTTAGGAGTTTCAACCGGCCAGTGTGAGGGCTTATAATGGAAACGCCTCTTCAGTTTTAACTTTGTATTGCTTTGGTTATGCAACTTCTTTTGCTGTATAAAGGCAGCAAGCAAGCATCTGGCACATGCGAGTTCAAAGGGTTACATTCTCCCCCAAAACCTTTGTTTTAATGAAAAAAATTACACCGGGAGGTTAGAAGAATTTATTTGAAAAGTCACAGTAGGCACTACACAGGAGAGTCCCAGAAGTTCAAAGTCATCAACTGGCATCAAAACCATACCACAAAACACCTGTGCCACAAAGGACTGATGGGTACGTACACTTAACGAGCCTTCTGCTGGCAAGTAACATCGCGCATACAGAGCTTTACCTTAGCATCACTACTCGAGTTTCTACAAAAGTCACCTAAAAAGCAGAAGACAGCCTAGGTTCCGCCGCTCCGCGCGCCACCTCCTCTTTACAGACCAGCAGTTACTCCAACATGCCCGCGGCAGAGCGGCCGCTCTCCCAGCAGTGCGAGTCGCCTACCACGGTACGGCGGGCACCAGAAGAGACCTGCACGCATCACCCCTCCCGCACATGCAAGAGGGAAACGAGACAGACACGCGAGCCGCCGCCAGCGTTCCTACCCACAGCTGCGCTATCAGACGGACGCCGAAAGGGGATCGGATCTGTACCCGTGGCCGAAGTCCTTCGCCCTCTCGCCCCGCGCTGCCGCACGCAGCCGCTGCCTCGGGCCAAGCCC